CTCTGATCTAGAAAAAAAGGAAGAGGCTGGAGTTGAAGGTAGTTCTAGTCCAAGACAACCGAAGTCATCAATAAGGTGAAAGGTGAATTGTATTATAGCCACAGCTATAGAAAGAATGAATATGTCTTTAAAAATAAGAGAAAGGATGGGATCTTTTCTAAGTACCCCGCCCAACATTATTGAAATACCACCACATTTATGGTTGCATCCGTTTTTATGGATATGAATTCATTTCATCAGAACCGTACTAGTGCATGGGGTATGGTATTTGCACATAGTTGTTTGGGGAGGGAGAAAGGAAAAGGAAGAATAACAAATGAACATTAGAGAGAGAATTACTTCTTGTTAATCACTAACTCAGGCACAGTTGTCCTGTGAGTCGGTTAACATGCGGAGAAAGAAAACCCCACCTCTGTTTTTCCCCCTCTGTAAGAGGATAGTGTTCAGTTTGCTTGTGAATTCTAACTCAGTTCAAGTTCTTGTGTCAGCGTTCAAGATGACTACAGAGACACAGTAGTGCAGGAACACTGTTCAGTATAAAGTGTGAGCTCTGGCTAGATCTCACAGGACTTTCCATCCTACCTCCTCATCTCACCCATGCTACTTCTACCTTTCTGAAGTAGTAAGAATCAATTCCAGTGAGATCTCTAGGGGTCTTCACCCAACATCTGTTGATGTCCAAAGAAGGGTTTTGATCAGCAACTTGAACATTTGTTCAGCTCTAAACAAGAGGCCCACGTTCTTAAGCAGGGTTTTTGATGGCCACATCCAAGCACTTAATCAAACAATTGGCGAAATAAAGCTCATTAGAAAACAAATGCCCAGAAACCTTAATTTAATCCATCAACATAGTAGTATAGTTACATAATTTTAGACTCTAGACTTAAAGGTCTTAGCCACCCACAGTCATGGACATTACGTTTATGATTTCCTGTTGTGGTCTGCCAGTCCGGTGATATTCTGCCCCACAACCTCCTCATTCTGCTGAACAAGGCCCCTGACATCTGCCCCACAGTCCTACCCTTGCAATGAATAGGAACTGACCTTTACAAACAGTTCAATCTCTGGTTCCTTTAGGGGATTACGAAGCCAACTTGCCATCCTCTCTTTAGCTGGCCACCAACTGTTGCTGAGAACTTTCTTCCACCACCGTCTGTTTACCACCAGCCTTCACCACCAACGCAGTGGGGAATTTTTCAGGGCAGGGCCTGTCTAGGAGAGATGGTGGCCCTGCGTGGCTCAAAGCCCATCGGTTGGAAGTGGTTTTGCTTTTCCTCTCTTCTTTCAGGAGGCTAAGCCAGAAGTTGTGGCGAGGTGCAGAGTAACCTGCTACAAGCAAGAGGGGGATCTCTGTAAAGACCTCCCATCCATGACTCAGCAACACGGTTTATCAGAAAGCCACATAGCACGTTCTTCTCTGGTATATCAAAAAAGCCAGATGTCTAATTCTCAGAGAAACAACCCAGAATAAGTCCTTCGCTGGACTGCCACTCCACAGCTGCCAGAATTTCTATAACAGGAAGTGAGCCGGGAAGCATCTCATACCTCAGTAGATAGAGAGGTCACTAACTTAACATATTCCTGCCGTAGGAGAACTCCTCTACCCTGGGACATCCTACATTTTACTTACAAACCCGATGAACTTTTATGTAGCCAAATGGCACTGTCCATATACCAAAGGAATTATGTAACAGACCTGGGGCAATTCCTAACTTTTCAGAAATGAAGAATATAATTTGGGGGTGGAGACCTCTTTTGAGATGAGCTGCTAAATGATCCCATTTCCCAACCAACTCTAACCGGGGAAAGGAGAAGATTGACTGTTGAACTAGAAGTAGTGGAATGGTGTTTCCAGGAAGAGAGCACGATTGGGTATCTTTCTGAATAAAGGTACTCCATTCTACAGCACTTGGTTACTAATGGCACATACACAATTCGATGGATGCATGGATGGGTGGCTGGCTGGCTGGCTGGGTGGGCAGCTGGGTAGGTAGGTAGGTAGGTAGGTAAATAGATGGATGGGTAGGTAGATAGATAGGTTGGTACATAGGTGGGTGGGTGGGTGGGCGGGTAGGTGGATGGATGGATGGATGGATGGATGGATGGATGGCTGGTTGGATGGATGGCTGGATGGATGGATGGATGGCTGGTTGGATGGATGGCTGGATGGATGGATGGATGGCTGGTTGGATGGATGGCTGGATGGATGGATGGATGGCTGGTTGGATGGATGGCTGGATGGATGGATGGATGGCTGGTTGGATGGATGGCTGGATGGATGGATGGATGGCTGGTTGGATGGATGGCTGGATGGATGGATGGATGGCTGGTTGGATGGATGGCTGGATGGATGGATGGATGGCTGGTTGGATGGATGGCTGGATGGATGGATGGATGGATGGATGGATGGATGGATGGAGACAGATGACAGACAGGCAGACAGACAGACAGATAAACAGACCTGAGGGAAGGGGGGATGGAATGGATCCTGAAAGAGAGTATAGCTTGCTGACTGGCTGACGTTCTCTGTACCGCTTGTCAACTCACTAACTCAGTTTACTGCACCATGTGTACATGTGTGCAGGCGCGTGTTTTAAAACTCAAATACAACGAAATCTTTCCCTTTCCTTTGAAAAGGCAGAGCTCCGCTTCCGAAACAATTTAATAAAGCACACACATTGGAGGAAATCACCCTGCTGCTGTTGTTTTTTCCTTTTCCAAAGCAAACCACGAGGAAAAGCTGGCGATATCTGTCCCTTTACATTGCATTTGGAGATAAGAGCCTTCTTTCACAGCTCTGCTTAAAGAGCAGCACTGGCTCTCTTCTGGAAACATTGGCCCCTTGTTTTTCTGTCCTTGTTGACCTCAGTTTCTTCACCCAGCAGAGTCTCTGGGAGGGAGCTGAGATGGCTAAACTGACTTCTTGGATCAGAGAAAAGACATTATGAAAGTTTATTGCTGACTGGAAACCCCTTTTGCGTGAAACGGGAAAAAATGAACTTATGATTTATGGTTTCGATGGTTAGACAGGATAGATTATAGAAAGAAGAGAGTTCTGTTGTAGCCATAGAGTAGGAGGTAAATTTATCATTGTACTTATAATTGCTGTAAAGAAGATCGGAAGCTACTTCTTTGTCTCTCTCTTTTTTTCTTTTCTATTTTTCTTTTACTTTTTTTTCTTTCTTGCACTTCTAGCTTTCTTTCTGATTTCTTTCTTTTTCTTACTTTATATTAGTTTGTATTCGTTTTTCTCTTCCTTTTAAATTTTTTAAATAAAATTATATTTTGAAAAACAGAGTCTGTGGGAGGGGGCAGATCAGACAGTATCTTCAGCTATAGTGCATTGGCCCAAAATATTTATTTGCTGCTGAAAACTTCAACTTTTTAAAAGTATGTCAGCCAGAAGCATTAGTTTGCTGAAGCATCTAGAAAATGCCCTTAAATATGGACAAAAGTTCTCTTCTACCAAATCTGTCCTTTGAACTTTCAAACTATGTATCCCTTTGCACATTTTTAAAGATCTGACATATAGCGTACTGTGAGAAATTGAAACGGCAGTTTCACAAATAGAAAATACTCAAGATTCTTGGGGATTGATGGAATGTAGATATTTGATTCTAACGAAGCCTCATTGAAACAACACCCCATACAGTTCAACCCTATACATATTTACAAAGAAATACGTTCTGCTATTCTGATGCTCAGACGGACGGACAGACGGATGGATGGACAGGTGGACAGACAGGCGTCTGTCCGTCTATCCATCTGTCCGTCCGTCTGTCCGTCCATTCGTCCATCCATCCATTTGTCCATCCGTCTGTCTGTTTGACCATCCGTCTGTCCGTCCGTCCATCCATCCGTCTGAGCATCAGAATAGCAGAATGTATTTCTTTGTAAATATGTATAGGGTTGAACTGTATGCTGTGCTCTTTCAATCAGGCTTTGTTAGAATCAAATATCTATATTCCATCAATCCCCAAGAATCCTGAGTATTTTCTATTTGTGAAACTGCCATTTCAATTTCTCACAATATGGACGGACAGACGGATGGATGGGCGGGCGGGTGGACAGTTGCTATTGTGGAGTCTTTCCACTTTAAATCATTCCTTTTCGCAGGCATATCTCTATTTTTCATTTAATTTCTTGGATGATCATTGTGCAATACAATCATTTAAATGAAAATGTAAATGTTGAATGGATAGATGCTCTACTGCAGGCCTCTATGGCTTTCAGATGTTGCTGAACTTCAACTTCCAGGGGGATCTTGGAAATTATATTTCAGCAGCATGCTTTTCTGTGCTCAGTTGGAAATACAAAAGTGGCATCATTAGGAAATAGAAGCAAGTTTGATTAAGGAATACCCAAAGAGTGATGTTACCATATATGTGAATAGAAATGATCTAATTAATGTGATAAATGCTGTTGCTTAAAAGAGGGTAAAGAATAAACAGTTAATTAAAATAACAGTTGCAGGAAGAAATTGGGTTTCAGCTAAATGAGCTTTTACTACTAAGCAAGAAAGAAATAGGATTTTGCTGGGAGTGATGAGCATTTCTGGAGTTTTAATGGAAAGAGCATTGCTAATTTAAGTGCTGCATGGGGGAGGCGATGCTTCAAGAACTCGGAATAGTTTTAATATAGAAGCAATGGAAAATACACATCTGGACCCAGCTGGACATCTTCATCCTCAGAAAAGGACCAGGCTGACAATGCATTTTGGGTACCTGTTATGGCTATCCTGGAGCAAGAGGCATTATGCACAGTTATACCTGTCTTTGTCACTGTGAGGCTGGACAACTGCAACTTGCTCTACACGGAGCTGCCCTTGAAGGTCATCTGGAAGTTTCAACTGGGGCAGCATATAGTGGCCAAGTAATTATGGTTCACTAATATAGCATTTCTACTATGGGAGCTGCACTGAGTGCCCGTTGGCTTCTGGGTGCCATTAAAGTTGCTGCTTGTCCCTGTAAAACAGGGGTTCCCAACTTGGGGTGCTCACACCTTCCGGGGGTGTGAGATGGAATTTCAGGCAGCGTGACAATTTTATGCACTGAGTTAAAAGCTTATTTTTTAGAATTCAGTTTGTTCACCCGCATTAGAAATTAGACTTCTTCATCTTCAAATGTGATATTCCTTTTGTAGGGGGGGTGAACTTTAATCAAACATTTCCTAGGGGTGTGGGGCATAGAAAAGGTTGGGAACCGCTTCATGTTCCAGGACTGGGCTATCTTTGAGAATCTGCGTGTCTGATAAGAATGGGGAGAGGAGTCTTGTTAAGGGTCTCCTCACTAAGAGAACACAATCTAAGGAGACCTCCTGGATGCGCTTTCTCAGTGATGGTCTCTCTTCAATGGAACAACTTTCCTCTGGATATCTCAACTGTCTCTTCTCAGCTGGGCCTCCAAAGAGCTGGAAAGACAGCTGTTCAGGAAAGTGTGGATCAATCCACCACAGCTGGGTGGCACTGTCAGCGGATATGATCAATATAATTGTTGTGTTTTGTTGTTTTTAACCCATGTTACCGCTGATATGCTACTCAAAACCTTTGAGAATGGAATGGCTTGGAGGCTATAGAAAATACTTGCATACATATTAAATTAAATTAAAATAAAATAAAAGTGCATTTGCTATTTCATATGCTGAGAAACCCAGCACCAGCCTGAAAGGCCAGATGCAGTCCCCATCACTTCCAACTCCAAAGAGTTGGACCTGTTCCCGGTCCTTGAGAATGAGATGGCAACCGATGAGGATCCAGAAGCTAGCCAGGCAAAGAAGGGGAGAAGCGCCATTTTTCAGACTTCATGTCCAACCTCAATTTTTGTGTGCCATTAAAAAGAAGGGTAAGTGGGGGGGGGGGGGGGGGGGGAGAGAGAGAATTAGAGAGAAGATGGTTTTGCCTAGTATACTAAACTAGGCTGGAAAAGGATTGGATACTAGGTGGTTCGTTGTGTTGTAGGAGATCCAGGCAATGCCTTAGCAGGCCAAGCCATCACATTAAACCATAGTATGATTTATTTCTTTGGGCAATGCATGGTATGTGAACATAGGAATTGTGGTTTGTTAACTTGAACTCAGTCAGAAAGAAAAAGTGTATACCTCCATGGAACGCCGAGCATTATTTTGATTTTTAATCTGGGGCATGAGGATATCTAAAGCCAGCAGAGGTTTACTGGATCTCTTTTAGTTAGCTAGCCACACACAGCCATGCACACACACACACACACACACACACACACACACTGCTAGCCACGTAGAGAACCAGCTCATTGTTAATGGACAATAGGAGTGTTTACGTTCCAGCAGCAGAAGGAGATGAGAGATGCCAACAAATTGCTCTGGAGTCTGGGCTACACCAAGGCTGACTATACAATGCAATGCCTGGATCTTGGCTGATGGGGTGGCTTTGGCTTGTGGGAACAGTGGTGAGCTTGTCCTGTTTCCCAGCGTTACTGGAGGCAGCTCCTGAGTTTTCAGGTAAGCTGGTGCGATGAGCTAAGACCGGGACGAAGGAGGGTCCTGCTTTAGCGCTGGCAGTCTCTATCTTCTGACTGGCAGTGGCTGAGGATGAGAGATGACAAGCTCTAACTCCAGTCCTTAAACTTCTCTTATTCCTGCAGGGAAAACTGAGGAGATCAAAAGAAAGCAAGGTCATTCTGAGAGGGGACGACAAATAAAGGACTGGGTGTGCATTTGGGGGTGTCAACTCCAAACTTTAAAATAAGCAAGGGAAAAATTTGGTTGTCCCTTGACTTGAACTCACACGACCCTAATAGAAATATTTCTTTCCTATTTTAGAATTGCTTGCCAACAATGTTTGCATTGCTTCTATGTGTTGATCTGTCTCTGCATTATATTGTCAGATCTAGGGTTGCTCACTATAAATTGGAAACAGTATTTGTAGGACTCAAACCATGCCCACAACTAAGGCTGTGTTACTAAATCGGTAGAAACAGCAGCAGCTTAAAAAATGACCTTCCTGCAGTGAAAAATGCAAAGCTGTGCTAGGGTCTGTCAAGTAGTGACATCTTCACTGCAAATATTCAGTGCTGTCCAATTCTTTTTTTACTTGGTGACTTTAAGCCAAAGCCCACAATATTTAATAGTAAAATTGTGCTGGAATAGTCTTGATGAAATCCCACCTGATGCTGGTAGTTTCTGTAGAACATCATGAAAATTCACATTGGCCTGTATGATCGAAGCCTTCAGAACTTACCATATTGTAGAACAGGGAATAATGGGAATGTCAGTGAGTGTTTTTGGCTAGAAAAGCTGTCTCAGCTTTCCTAAATATCAGTCCTCCTGATGGTTTGGGACTTGAGTTCTAGACTCTACAGTCCTAGCTACCCTTATGTCCAGTGTTTCTCAACCTTGGCAACTTTAAGATGTGTGGACTTCAACTCCCAGAGGACTTCAACTCCCAGAAACTCCCCTTGCTGGCTGGGGAATTCTGGAAGTTGAAGTCCACACATCTTAAAGTTGCCAAGGTTGAGAAACACTGCTTATGTCTAATGTCAAGCGCAAGTAAGATTTTCAAGGTTTGTGATGTCGATTCCCTTCCTCTTTCACAAGGTTATTTGCGGAAGATTCTGAAGAATCACACAATCCATGCCTGTGATGGGGAACAGCTAACAATCCTTTGTCCCCACAAGACCTCCATTAGCATACTTTCTGCTTTTTATGGGCGCAGGGTACCCAGTCCAAACCTCTGTCCAGCCTCAGGAGACCTCTTCTTGGAAAGCATTGATTGTTCATCTGCCACAACCCATCAGGTAAGAGGCTCCCCCATGCAGAAGAATATTTTCTGTACTACATACCTAAGCGTTGGTACTGTTTTGGTCTTTCCTTTTTTTAAAAAAAGCCACAGCCTTTTCACAATTTTACTGATGATTTAATCTTGTAAGTCAAGAAGGAAAAATCAGGGAATCTGCTGCCAACCAGCTTGCACCATGGAAATTTGGTGGTAGAACATTTCGCAAATGTTCCTCGGCCAAATTTCCACCTTGCCATCTCTGAAGGTACGATGATGTTGTCCTGGCACCTTCTCTGATGGCCTAGCCACACATATACATGAAATTGTTCTCCCCTCCTATATGATCTATGCTATAAGATCCTTAATGTATAGTTTGGAAATTACAGTAGTGAAAATGAAAGTCAATGCAGAACAGACATGACCAGAATGACGGGTATTTTCTGAATCCAAAGCCAGACTTCCCCCATCCTGGAGCCCTTTCCAATACCCATCATTCCTGGATGCACTGGGCATGGATGATGGGGGCTGAAGTCCAATATATTGGAGAGCAGCAAGTTAGGGAATGCCTCCCTAATGGGGTTGACTTGTTAATTATGGTTCGTCTAAACTAATCAACTTCCTACCCTATCTTTAAACTCTTTTTTCCTTTTAAGCGTGGAATCATTAAGCAAATAAACCAATCAACAGAATTGAAGGGAGCATCAGAAAAACACTGCTGCTCTTGAGAGTCTTCCATGCCGCCGGACCCTCAGCATGTGTGAGGGCAAAGGAAGAGCAACAGAGAATGAGGAAGGGCTGTTCTGCCATAAGCATTTGCAACATGGGGCACCTCAGGGAGAATGCAACCCTGCCAGCCTCAGCTGGAAACCCCATTTGGGCTACCTATCTCTCAGTGCAACAGCTAGGGTGTTGTCAGGCAGCGCATCCCCTGATTTGACTGTTGAGTTGTGTGAACCAAGGAGAGAGAGCAAATTCCCAGCTAGGAGGTTTTGGGGAAGGATATCTTGCCATCTAGTGGCTAGCAAAGCGATGCATTTGGGAACTGGGATTTCTCCTGCAGGTAGTTTGAAAGTTCCCGGAAGGAATGTGCTGGAAAAGTATTTTCCTGTCTTTTCCACAAAGAGCAGAACTAGACTTTTTATTTTTTATGAAGAAGAAGAAGAAGAAGAAGAAGAAGAAGAAGAAGAAGAAGAAGAAGAAGAAGAAGAAGAAGAAGAAGAAGAAGAAGACACATAGAAAGTGCTTTAACAACAAAGTGAACTTCAAGAAAAAAATGTTAATATGTCATTATAACAGTAAACAATTACAATTCTATATATACATATCGAATGCAAATATTATTTAAGTACATATATATTTCTAACACATTTATATGACTATCATTTTTTTTTTTTTACCTACTCTATTTGGTATAAATGAATCCCATTTTCCATTATATTTGCCCATACCAAGTCTATAGGCAATTTGCTTGTAAGTAGCAAGTGCAATCAGGTCTTCAATCCATTGAGTAAATGGGGCCATACATTTATCTTTCCAGTGCTGCAATATTGGTCTTTTGGCCATAGGAAGGGCATGGAGAATCCATTTACGTTGTCTAGTTGTCAAGTTCCTTGACCTAGGTATATAGTTCAAAAGAATATTATCCTCTGAAAATTTTAGCTTGTGTCTCAAAGAGCCAAATTAGACTTAGGGCACACCCAGACAGCCGGTTTAATGTGCTTTCCCCACAGTCTATGAAATGGCACAAATGTTTGCTGGTGTAATTTGCTCTGGATATGTAGCTGCTAATGAGGCCAACAAATGATATTATCCTAAGCAATTAAACCACTGATGGCTATCCCTGCTGGGGGGGAAACATCCACTAACTGATCCCTCTACGACAGGCTGGAGGAGCAGGTGAGTTTGGGCAGATGTCAGAACCTTCAAATGTAAGTCCTGCATGAGCAACCTGCTTGCCAGACCTTCGTAGCAACAAATGTCCCCCAAGGTAGACCACATGGTAAGTGTTGCGGTGCTCCACAAAACACCCTTCATGCCTTGGTGTTTGTTCCTGCAAGAGTCTGAAGGGCACATCACTTTAGATCTTTGGTTTTCGAGTTTCTCCAGAAACTTTGGAACTACTTTTCCTCTCTTGGGGTCATGTCAATCCAGCAGCACAAGCCCAGATGGCTGGGAAGTGAAGTTAGCAGCAACTGGAGAGAAGGGGGCATTCACACAGCCACCAAAAGCAGCCAATAGGAGTTAGGCACACCCCAGCCCTTGTCACAACTTTGCCTCAGCTGCTGCCGAAGTGACGCAAAGCATGCATGGCACCAAGGTTATGGCAGGAGAAGATGGAAAACATTATTTCTGCACCAGACCAGAAAAATGCAAAGCTAGCTGGGCTTGGCTATGGACAATGAGATGGAGGCATCAATTGGAGAATGTTTTGATGTACCTTTAGGATATCTTTGCATTTAACTCGTGGAGTTCTTTTTTTTTTTTTTTTAATGCAATTAGCAGCTGTGGGGAAGATTGATCAGAGCAACTAATCATTCAGCTGTTTCCTGCTTGCTTTGGTCTTGTACATAAAAGTCTCATCTGAAGCGGTTACTTGATCTGCAGGGAAATTGGAGACTTTCAGTCCCTCGTTGCATTGTATTTGCAAGTGATCTTTCTCTACTTTGCTTAAAACTGACTAGGAATTTCAAGACCCAGGCTGGGAAGAAACAAAGTGGAGACATGAAGCCCGCTTTTTCTATCCTGGCCTTCACCAGAATTTCCATCCAGTTGGCCATAAGTTAACTGGGAAAGATGAAGCTTATAGTCATAAAATTCTAGAGAATGCTGGGCTGGGGAAAACTGGTTTATGCACTTCTGGGGACTAGTTAGGGTCTTTCTAAATAAGACTGGGCTACACTTACTGCTTGTCTTTTTCCACCAGAAAATGATGGATGAGTGTCAAGACCATCGATGGTGCCATTTCCTTGTCCACAGCCGGGTGTTTGGGCCTGATCCATGCCCAGAGACACACAAATACTTGGTGGTTTCCTACAAATGCAGACCTGGTGAGTGAATTCAGCAAGGCATTAATGCAGAAAAGGACCAGACTTGTAGAATCAACCCTATGGTCTTCTGGAGAGCTGAAGGAGGCCATCCAGAGCTGCTATAACATCATTGGTGGAGGCCTGGCTGAAAATTTCAGTCTACCTGGAGGGCTTTGGGGAAGGGGGCAGTGAAAGCTGGTGATGGGGATAAGAGACTTCCCAGAGGAAAGCTGAATAATTGTATCTACTTTAGGATTCCTCAGAGATTCTTCAACAGTCCATTTGTTCACATAACAAGAAGTGGCCTGCCCATGTTTGCATATCACTAGGTTTATCTGATCACCTCTTGAATTTCAGCTGAAAGCATGACACCTGAAATTAGCAGAGGTGATTTTGAAGCCATGATTGAAGCTTTATCTGGAGGCACCTATAGATGAAAACAAAACCAGTTGACTAAAATCTTTGAGACTAAATCATACTAAGCTGTAGTTTGACTAACTGTGGTTATTGAATTACTGAACAAACCACAGTTGTCTGGGTCTGTGCAATACATTACCCAGCATTTACAACCATTAATGGCTAGGCTAAGCCCAAAAGAATTCATTTTCAGGTTTAGCATGTTGTTGAACTCATTCTGAGAGTCAGACTTATACTGATAGTCCCTTATCTCAAGTATGGCCTTAATCAAAGGAAGAGAGATTTTAAAACATGATGTTTTAAAATATTATGGGGGAGGGAGAGGGCAGGGACTATGAGGAATGACTGTGTTTCTTTCCCAGCCAATTATCGTCTCAAGACTGTGTGTGAAAATGACAAGATGAGACTACAGTGTCGGAGCAACTCGGTTCTAGCTATTTATTCTTCAATCTATGGACGACCTTTGCGAGGGAAGTTGGAATGTAGTTCTATGAATGGGACAGGACCTGAAATAGGTACATGGAAAGTTAGCATCTGCTAAGACAATCCTAAGCATTTCTGCACTTTATGAGGTTAGGGGCATGTCATCAGGGTTTAGCACCAGTTTGAAGGGAGCGCCGGACCTCTGTATTTCCATCATGGCAGCTGGTTGGAGAAGTTTCCCCCTTGCAGCTAACCCTCCCTCCCCCACAACCTCACAGGTCCTGAAAGGGGCATGCCAATTTGTTGGTTTTGTAGTTGCCTCTAAGCAGCCCAGCCCAAGCAAACAAAGGTGAAATTGATCCGAGTTCTGTCAGTTTGTTGCAGGGTGGTGTGTTCAACCCTTGGGGCTGAAGTGGAGATGAGGTGACCTTTGTTGTTGCAGACCCAGTTGCAATGGGTTTCAGCCTACTGAAACGCTGAGGTGGCCTTCAAACTGCTTCTGAAGTTTGGAGAGGGAAAGTGGTGGTGTAGAACTGTTGCATGGGAAAGAGATCCAGTTCTAGTGTCACCTCCTTCAGACACCCAACCCTGGTTCATCTTCCCTTTTGGATAACTCATGGATGAAGCTAGTTCTGAGCTGGGGCTCCATTACTAGGCACGAGTCAGCAATTGGTATAGCTGGGCAACTGCCAAGAGGCACACTCCAGCAAGGGCTGATGCCAACCTCTAATGTCCTTGACCTGCAGCTCCTTTTGTTGCCTGTTGTTGCCTGCTCGACTCTGGCCCTTTGCCCCACTACTCAGTTATAGTACTGTCTATCCCTCCAGCAGAAACCAATACTGGCATGAAATTTGCTCTCCACATGGCCAACCCCTATTCTCCCTTCATTGCATATTTTAGTTGAAAGCTGGAAAAGAGAGATGTGAAGCTCAAAAACAGTACACTTCATGATGACACTGTTGTGAGAGTAAAATTTAAAGCATTTGGACACTGTCCAGGAATGCTTTCTAGAGCAGGTCCCCCCCCCCCGACCAGCTGGGTTCTGCAGTGTTCCCAGAGAGATTAAGGACAAAAAAGAGAAAAATGCATCCAGGGGGATCCATGGTTAGAAAGGGTGGATTTGTTCTCCTGCAAAAAACCCCCACATCTCCCATTTTGTGGGTTCTGTTTTATTTTTTAAAACTAACAGTTTCCATGGCCTAAAAAGCTTGAAAGCCCCTTCTCTGGGGCACCAAGGATAGTGAACTGGTTCTCTCCGGATATTTGAAACTCCAGATCCCATAAGCCTTGTGACCATTGGCCATGGGGACTGGATCTCCTGAGCATCGTGGTCTAAAATATCTGGACCATCTCTTGATGAACAGCTTTCTTTGCTTATCTGAGCAGGATGGAACAGATTCACCCATGCAATGCTGGCATTTTACAAATGACGAATTTAAGCCATTTCCAGCCTTACACCAGGCTGACCTCTAACTCTTGTCTGGGGAATAGGGTGATTCAGCTCTAACAAAACTGGTGGTCACCCATTTGAGAAAGGCTGTGGTAGGCAGTCAATCTTTGGGGGCTGTTTGGAAAGTTCACAACTGAGCCAACATCCAGAATCTGCCAGTCCTCCAATCCCCCCCAGGACTGACTGTGTTGTGTTATGTGTGTGATTTGTAGAATGCATAGCTCCTGATGCCTTGAGAAGAGTGTCCCAGAGGTGCCACAGGAAGGAGAATTGCACCATTGCTGCTAACAAGGCTACATTTGGAGACCCTTGCTTCCCTGGGGTGAAGAAACAATTGAGAGTGTCTTATACCTGCGGTAAGCAGAATAACAAAATAACCCGAAGACATCTGCATTTGAGGTGGGAAGGACAAGGAACAGACAAACTAGGTGATCAACAGTCCAGTTCTCCATTCCAAATTAGACAGGTTTGGGGCTTTGGGATATATACATATTTGGCATATATATATATATATATAT